GACTCCTGCCAGCGACCTCAGCCTTGGGGCAGGGGCAGGGGGATGGGGATGGGAACAGCTGCGATGGCCCCCTCACCACCCAGAGAGCTCACCCCTACCACCAAGTGATGACCTGCCGGGAACCCCAGTCTCTCTCCCACACAGCTTCTCCCCTCGCTGTCTGTGTCCACACCCCTCTCCTTCCCACAGGGACTGCTCTCCTGCACCCTCCACCCCCAGCCCCTGGCCAGTTCTAAACTGCCGCCAGCAAGCGGGGCTGGGATGAACAGGACAGGTGCCTCACCCTTTCCTTGGGGCCAGCCACGTGGCACTGTAGGGCTGGGCAGGGTAGGGGGCTGAGTGTAACCGGAACCCCGGACTGTGGGGAGACAGCCCAAAGGCACTGGGAGTGGCGTGTGGTGGGAGTGGGGGGTTTGTCTCCAGAGCAGGTGCGGGATGGACACGGAGCGCCCACGGCAGCGGCTGTAACCCGGGACCGAACCTCATGGTGCCAGGGGCCCCGTCTCTCCCCAGCCAGAGCACCCTGCGCTCCCCAAGGTGGGCTGCCATGTAGCACCAGGGGGGCGTCCTCCCTCTGCGCGCAGTGTCTCCAGGCTGCGCAGGTGGCCAACCCGAGGTGCCCTGGGCGCGGGCTCAGACCTCCGGGCCGCCGAAGGCCAGGTTGTCTCGCACCATCAGCGTCTTGCGGAGGTCGCGGTCCACCAGCGGGCGCTGCATGCGCCACTTGTGCGCTTCCTGCAGGCCGGGCTCGAAGTAGTAGATGCAGGCGCCGAAGCCCACCAGGATGAGCACGGAGGTGACCAGGTAGACCGGCACGAACCAATCCAGGAAGTGCGGCATCGCGGCGGCGCTGCTGAGACACAGGCAGACAGACAGACAGACAGACAGACAGACGCCCGCTGTGAGTGGCTGGGGAGGCCTGAGCCTCCCTTTCCAGGTGGTGAGACTGGGATCCGCCCTCTAAGGGCCCCCGCAGAGTTAGCCCACCGCTTCCGTCCTTCTCCAGCACGTGTGTCCTTGGGCAGGAGGCCTGACCTCTCTGATCCTTGGCTTCCTCCTTTGGGAGGGAGAGCCAGGGAGGGGATCCATCCCTTCCCGAAGCAGTGCAGAACTCTGGGAAGAGCTGAGCCACGGGCAGGGGGTGGACGGTGGAGACCCCCTCTATCTCTCCCCACTCCCCTAGCCATTAGCCCTCACTTGTCTGGTGTCCCGCAGATGAGTGGGTCCCCAGCCACCTATACCCACAGGCCATCCTGAGTGTTATAAGTAGGATGGCCCTCCATGAACCCGAATGCCAGAGTGCTCGACTGGGTGGCAGCTGGCTTCCACCACTGGCTAACCCAAACACTCTCCCGGCCACAGTGTCCACATCTGTAAGATGGGATTGTGGAACACCTGCTGGGCCTGTCATGTAGGGAAACCGCTTAGAAACAGTGTCTGGCACATATCACGTGATGCCTCTGTTTTCTCCTCTGTACCATGGAGCTGGGAAAGGGCCGTGAACTGTGTTAAGAAGCAACATAACAAACCTCTGACCATTTGTACATGCACCGTGCAGGGCCACGGCAATGCCAGCAGAGCCTCGGGACCATGCCTGGCACAGAGTAAGCGCTTAACAGATCAGACTCACTTGCGGCCCTGAGTCAGTGAGGCTCATGAAACCCTATGGGACAGGGTAGAACTGCCCCTGTGGGATTCTGACTGTCACTCTTATAGGAGGAGAAAGCCTCCTCTTCCTCCAGAGGAACGGCAGATGGTTTTGAACCTCGGGCCCTATGGTTAGTGGCCCAACATGTAACCACTGTGCCAACAGATATTGTGAGGTGCCATCGAATCGGTGCTGACTCATAGCAACCCACGGACAGCAGCATGAAGCACGGCCCAGTCCTGCACCGTCTCATGAATTCGTGTGATTTCTGAGTAGTCTTGGAGCACAGAGAAGCGCTCTGATGCATATCCAAAGGTTGCTGGTTCCAACCCAACTGGAGGCTCTGTGGTAAAAAGGCCTGGCGCTCTGCTCCCATGGAAATGACAGCCTAGAGACCTGCCAGGGGGGCCTGGAGTGGAGATGGCCTCAACAGTGCCCCACCACAACAATGCTGCTTCAGGGAGCCAAAGGTGGGGTGAGGGAAGAATGGGAAGGCGGTGGGTGTGCAGTGTGTCACAAACACTCCACACGCCAACAGACCGATGGCACCCACATGTGCCCCCCAGCCAGCCTGACAGCCTGTTCCCCCACCAGACCCGCTGGCCAATGGAACTGCTTGTCAGTCACCTGTGTCCCTCTGTCAGCCCTGTGCCCAGAATGCCCTTTGCATTCTTGCTCACTTGGAAAACGCCATTCATACTTCAAAAGCCAGATCAGAGATGATGTCCCTGGGGAGGGGACAACACGAGGCTCTCAAACGAGAGTGAGGGGCGCTGCTGTTGCCTGCCCCGCAGGGAGAGCGCTGCTAGAGGGTCTTTCATGAATGTACAACAGACTTAGGGGCTAAGGGTTACCCCCCACATATTAGAGATGCAGAAACTGAGCCCCTTCCATCCCACTCCCACCTCCACACACACACACACACACACACACACACTCCCTAATTTGTCCTGGATTATCTGGCCAGGAAGTTGTGGAGCTGAACTACAAGCCCAGCACTGTCCTGAGACCTGAGCCCCTGGGGTT